GTGAGGATTTGACCAAATTCAGCCACAAGAGCATGAGTGAGGTCAGGCGCTGCTGTTGGTAATTACGTCTGGATCAGAAACGTCACTCTAATTCATCCCAGAGGTATTGGATAGTGGTCTGTCACTATAGAGAAGGCAGTTCCACTGCTTCACAGTCCAGTGCTAGGGGGCTTAAAACCCCTTTGGTTAACCTAGGGCATTGGACACGGGCAGCTCATGTGCATAGATAGATAGATAGATAGATAGATAGATATTTTATATTTTTATGCTGGTCTGGTGCTGGTTTAGCTGGTCACCCAGCATTAACATGAATCCATGAATCCAGCATTAACATGAATCCTGGTTGACCAGCATACCAGCTTTTGCTTTTGTGATGAGTTTCCATTGCTGCTGACCAGCACCCAAATCAATATATGCTGGTTTTGCTGGTGTCCAGCAATGCTGGTCCATGCTGGTTGTTCTAGCAGGATAGATAATCTAGATAGATACTTTCATGGACTTTATTGATCTCCAAGGGGAATCTAAACTTCATAAAGTCACTTTAACCGGGAATAGCACTAGCTAGTTTGCTTGATAACCTATCTAGATAGTGAGCTAGGTTCATAGATAGATAGATAGATAGATAGATAGATAGATAGATAGATAGATAGATAGATAAGAGGGTTAAGCAAAGCTGGAGCCGTTTTCTGATCTAAATAATACAGACTTTTATTTTGCTTGTTTGCTAGTTTGTTTGGGCATGCTACTCTGTTCTGCATAGTTTCTAAACAAATAAACAAAAAAAAGGATATTATTGAAATTATTAAGCTTGTTTTTTCTTTGCGTATGGATTCATCCATACTCCATTCAGATATTGAGCTTTCATTTCTTTCAAATACACACCATAAACACTAGGTGTCACTGTTGTTCATGTTTTCAATAGGCAGGCAGTGCTGTTTGATGTTATTTCACTTACTGTAGGCCTTACTATATCAAACTTTATAAACAGAAGCAGTTTAGAATACAACAAACCTAAAATTAGAACTCAAATCTTCACAGCTGGAATACAGAAATTGTCTTCTGTCTACAGAAATCTGTCTGTTTGATTGTGCAGGTCAATAAAAATCGAATTTATTGCTACAGGAATGATCAGTTATCACATCGTATAATCTGAAATGCACACAAATCTCCGACAATTTAATGGTTGTCACTGATCACCCCGTCAGTCAAATACTCAAATTCATGGATTATTAAAAGCACAAACTTTCAAACCTTATTTACACACAAACACAGTAATGCAACAACTTTCATACAAACGATCACACAGAGCAGACAGCGGTGGTCTTAGTGTGATCGGGTCAGTGTTGAACAGTCTGGGCCTCGTGGTGTTAGCGCTGTGGAACACCCTGCGCCTCATGGATCTCACTTTCTATTCTGAGAAGACGATGACGTTCTTTGTCACCTTTTGAACAGCACAAGTTCATTTGTCTTTCAACAACTCTCAGCCCTCGTTTGAGCAATTGCTCTGCAAAGACAACTAAAAAAAATGCTGGTCAGCATGCCAGTGAGCGCGTAAGAAACGACTGGATCCAGGTGTTGATGATAGCTGGTGATGGATCTGAGTGTGAGTCAACTTAGGTATGAGCAATGCAGCACTAAGTCAGAGACCACCCTTCCTTTATTTAATTTACAGTCAAAACAGCCGCAAATCAGTCACAAGTACAAGTTCATTCATTTCTCAGCGTTAAGAAAAAAGCAGAGACACATATTTAACAGAAAATTACATATTAAGCCTTAACAACTAAATATAATATCACATTTTTCATCTTCCATTCTTTTAAAGAGTCTTTCTTTCAGTTTTTCAAAGGAATCTGCAGGGAGATTTTTCCACACCTCCAAAGTTCAGTCTTAGAAGTTGGTTGCATTTTCATTCAGCTCTTTCAGTGATGCTGAGGTCTGGACTCTGGGGTGGTCAGTCCATTATTCTGAGGAAAAAAAGCAGATTTTGCAGATTTTCTTCTTATTTATCCTCCTTTTCTCACTAACGGCTTCTAGACAGCGACACATCCTTTCAGACCCACAGCGCTGAGTCGTCTTCTCACAGTGGAAGGATGTTTGTTGATTGTTTCAGATCTGAAGCAGCTTGATTTTCTCCTCTCTCTCAAAGATGAAAGCTTACAATGCTGTTTATCTGATGGGGACAGTGTTGGTGGTCTACCAGACCTTGCATAGTTGTTAGGAGTCCCATTTTCTCTGTATACTTTAATACATTTTTGAACTCCTTATGCAGGTGCATTATTTTATATCTAATCTCATCAGAAATATCTCATGAAAATGAATAACTGTGTCTATTTTGACTGGAAATTGAATAAATCAAGGGTACTGACTTTTTACACTGCACTGTATGGCGATACCATGACGACAGACCAATTATAGAAAACATGTATGCAACAACCAACGTGCAGTAACTGTATAAACTGCATAGTAACAAGTAGCTGGCTGGATGTCAGCCTATTATGATATTATCTGTATGTATGGTATTAATACACTATTCTGTATATATAAGCAGTTATAATACAAACACATATTTGTACTTTTTTGTAGTTTTTTTTTTACTTTTAAGTGAGGCACAACTTTCTGTATGCAAAAGTTGCAAATTTTATATGCGAAGTTGAAAACTGTAAACTTTTTTTTTTTTTTGGTACTATTTTGCCTTAGTAATTATAGAAAACACTCTCTCTGAATCCCTCCACCCTGCGTGTAGTTTACAAACTCACTTTACTCCCTCGAATCTATCATAAAACAGTGTCTCAGTCATCAGGCAGTGAATTCATAACCATTTCATGTAGGAACTTTCTGTGAGGGAGCTTTTAGAGGTGGACGTCTGGTTCCTATCACCACCACTGTGAACTTGGCAAGTTTCTCTAGAAGGAGCGTTTCACACGAAACTGCCTTGAATGACGTTTTTGACGTCTTACCTATTGAATTATGCAGAAATAAAAAAAATAATTGTGGAATTACACTTTAAAGGAAGTATCACTGTGTTCAGTATTAAAACGGCTGTTTATGTGGTCTGGCTTTGAATAACATAGCTAATAGCATAGAGTTGCATTGCATAATGTTTTCTTGTAACGTGTGTGTGTGGGGGGAGGGGTGTAAAATATTACCCCAGAACAACTACCACACACACACACACACACACACACACACACTTGCAGCCAGTATGCAAAAAATAAACCCAGGTTATGTGGAATGATTGCAGGATTTTGGCATGTGCAGTCATATTTGGCTGGTTATTACAGATAACCATAGATGTTCATAAGAATTTTGGAACAGGTCTGGTCACATTTGATCAACCTCACATGTTAAAACATAACCGGTTACAGTGTTGCAAGAGTTTTAACTTTTGGGTTTTGTGTTTATGTTGTCTTTTGGAACCAGTGCATGAACAGACAGTAACATTTTCTATACTGACAGCATAATATAATATAGTATAATATAATATAATATAATATAATATGTGCTAGAATTCAAAATAAATGTGGTTCCAGCCAAATGAGCACCACTACTGAAGACAATGTCCTTTAGGAGCTTAATGCCAGGCAGCACGGTGGCGCAGTGGGTAGTGCTGACGCCTCACAGCAAGAAAGGCCTGGGTTTCTGTTCCCGGCCGGGCGACCAGGGTTCTTTCTGTGTGGGGTTTGCATGTTCTCCTCATGTCTGTGTGGGTTTTCTCCAGGTACTCCGGTTTCCTCCCACAGTCCAGTGTTTCCTGCCTTCTGCCCAGTGACCGCTGGGATAGGCTCCAGCTCCCCCTGTGACCCAGAAGGATTCTAAGCGACTTAGAAGATGTGAGTTTAATGCCTCATTTACAGAATATGAATATGCATGGATTTGACCCTAAAACTGCCATATGTGAAAATCTTAAGCTTTGCTTCATAAAATGTGAAAACTTGTGAAGATCAACTAAAGTTTCCATCCTGATGTACAAACGTTCAGGGGCACGGCACCCCCTGATGTCAGGACCGCAACTGTAATATATATACACATATATACATTCAAAAACTGTGGGCGTGACACAATTGCTTACCAGGCCACTTATCCACAGTCTGATTGGTCACCACTCAGCTCATAAAGTTCTAGGTTCTAAAGTTCATCTAAAACGAGAGAGCAGAGACAGGGTGTGAGCCTGTGGTCTGATGTGTCAGTTATATGAGTATATTGTGGTCTCTAGCCTCATTATAGCACTATATGACGCATTCTGTTTGATGAAAATTAGAAAATAATTAGAACAAAAAAAAAATCAAATGAAGACGGAAATTATTTTGCATGACATCATCGTTCAAGTCACATACACGCTGCCTAAACCCCTACTTAAAACACCTTACTGCGTCTCTGCAAACGTTTCATAACAGCAGTGTTAATGTGCTACATGCATTAAAGTGCGTGAATTATGTTTTTATAAATCATTCACAGGTAAATCTTAAGAGCAACTTCAGAATGAAATTCAAATACGTTTTACAATTCAAGCCCCAAGACTGAAACGAGGAAACTTCTAGTAGCACAAAGAATAAACACTGAAAAGGACAAAGCATGATCGTTTAGATCCAGAAGGATACCCTGTTTTTAATATTCTCTGTACTTTTGTCCATTTTATAGACCATGGCTGAAGTACTGTCTGCTCGGCTCACCTGTGAGAAAGAGTATTGACTGCATTCTGTAGTCAAACAGCTTTAGTCGAACTACAGAACAAGTTAACTCTGCGTAAACAATTCTGCGTTTCTATTTCATATTTTTAAAGGTATTCTATGGGGCAAAAGCATTACTAGTAGAATAGGAGGCCCTGGAGCAGCCACACATGGGCCTAAGGCCTCAATGCCACTATGGGATGAGTTGGAGTGATCCAGAACTGATCAGCACCTGACCTCACTAATGCTCTTAATCAAATCCTCGCAGCAATGTTCCAACACCTAGCGTAAAGCCTTCCAGAAGAGTCGAGGCTGTTACTGCAGCGCAGGAGGACAAGCTCACTTTGAATGCGCTTCATTTCAGAAGAAACGAGGATGAGCAGGTGTCCACAAACTTTTGGACACATTGTGTGTGTGTTGTCTTTATCTGAATCAGGTCAGTTCAGTGCAGCTTTTTCGGCGGTGCCTCCTCCCAGCTTAAGCTGCTCAGTTCAGCTCAGAGGGGGAAAAATAATACATCCAAAGAGAAATTGCAGCTCCAGATGATCCAGCGCCTTTAACAGGAGGGGGGGGGTGGGTGGATAAGAGGGGGCGTGGCTATGCCAGCGCTCTGACGTCAGCAGCCCGGTGTGTCTCTCCGGGCTTTGGGCTCCTCTCCTCTCTCCCTCGCTGGGAAGGCGAGCAAGGGAGGGAGGGAGAAAGAGAGAGAGAGAGACAGACAGACAGAGACAGAGAGAGAATCAGCAACAGCAGGACAGCAGAAGAGTGAAGAGCCACAGCCATCCGGCCCTTCTTACCCCCAAATGCCCCCCACCCACCCCTGTCACCACCAACCTCATCCGGAGCTCCATCAGCGCGGTCCCTTCTCCATCTTTCTTCTCCGGCTTCGACTCCGCGTCTGAACGGCGTCAAAACCATTCCGTTCATCCGTCTGTCCGTCCATCCGCGAGCCCGGTGCATGCGAGTGCGCGCGCGAGCGACAGAGGGAGAGAGTGCGAGCGTGTGCGTGCGTGCGTGTGTTTGTTTTCCTCGAGCTGAATGACGGGCGGACGCTTCGACTTCGACGATGGAGGCACGTACTGCGGCGGCTGGGAGGACGGCAAGGCCCACGGCCACGGCATCTGCACGGGACCCAAGGGCCAGGGCGAGTACTCGGGCTCGTGGGCGAGCGGCTTCGAGGTGTCCGGCGTGTACACGTGGCCCAGCGGCAACACGTACCAGGGCCACTGGGCGCAGGGCAAGCGCCACGGCCTGGGCGTCGAGTCCAAAGGCAGGTGGCTGTACCGCGGGGAGTGGACGCACGGCTTTAAGGGGCGCTACGGGGTCCGCCAGAGCCTCAACACACCGGCCAGATACGAGGGCACGTGGAGTAACGGGCTGCAGGACGGGTACGGGGTCGAGACCTACGCCGATGGGGGTGAGTATTGGTGGGAAGTTGGGGGCTTTATGGAGTTAAATTAGCGTCACTGATGCTCGGGAAAAAAAATGCATGTTTAATTTTATGTTCTTGGAAAACTCTCAATATGAATTTTAGAGATTTGAATATATTTACCTCGAGATTCAGATCTGGGAAATTCAGGTTTAGGTTAAAAAATCAAGTCATAAAAAGTTCAGATAAAAAAAATGGTAAGAAATTCAGGTTTAAAATAAATATTTACAAAATTCATGTTCAAAAAATTAAAACCTGTACAAAATGGAACACCTTATATTGGCACCATAGAGAAATTCAAGGAAAATATCCTAAATTTCCTACTAACTTAATTTTTTGAGACTGATTTTTTTATTACCTGCATTTTAAAGAGGTATATTTAGGACAGTATATTTAAAATCTACAGTGAAAATGATGTATGTACTTTTTTTCAAGCATCATGAATTCAGGTTCAGGCTCTAGTGACACTGATTTAACTCCATAGGGGTCTGGGTCAGCTTCCCTTTGACCTGCTTGGTGGTAACACGGGCCTAAACAGTGAGAGAAAATCCCAAAGTGTTTTTGATTGGACCACTGAGAGCAGCATGAGGTTTAGTGGTTGAATCAAAGTGTGTTGGCCAGTGCAGTGTGGGGGTTTGGTGGTCAAGAATATGTGAAGCCACAGACGTAGACCTTCACCACTGGTGTACTAGATCTGTTTGTTGCTCTGAAGCTGTGACTGCTTTTGAAGCAGGTCGGGTGATTTTGGCTGGACTTTTGGCCAAAGCAATGTTGGGTTTAGTTTTTTAGCCTGCATGTGAAGCCTCAGCCATAAACCTTCATCACCAACCCACTGGAGGTCAATTTGTGGCTGTGTTGAAGCTGCAACTTAGTTATTCTTGACCTGATTTGGAGCTGATTTTGGCTGGACCGTTGGCTAGTGCAATGTTAAGTTTGGTGGTTTAGCCCATATGTGAAGCCTCAGCCATAAACCTTCACCATCAGGCCACCAGAAGGTCCAGTTGTTGCTCTGTTGAAAGTACAGCGCAAGTATATCACCACGGGTAATACTGAGGTTGTTGTGGCTGCCACATGATTATTCTTGACCATATCTGAAGCCGGTACAGTGATTTTGGCCAGTACAATGTTGAGCTTGGTGGTCTCGCCTATATGTGGAGCCTCTGTTGTAAACCAGGGCCATCCACAAAAAGCTCCATTTGTTGCTTTGTTGAAGCAACAACTCGACTACATTTGGATGGTATAACAGGTGGAGTGGAGCTAATGTTGGGAAACATTCCAGTTTGCTCTTGGCTAGACTGGTGGTCAGCACAATGCAAGGTTTGGTGGTTGAGCACCACCACTTAAACCCCACCACTGGCCTTGCAGAAAGCCCATTTGTTGCTGTCTTGAAGTTGCAACACAAGCATGTTGACCACATTTGAGTTTAATAATAACAGGTAAAGCAGAGCTAGACTGGGTGGTTATATTGATATATGGCGTTGGACAGGACTGGTCAGTCATAGAGGTCGTTGCTAAAAATAGTAACATCTGCAAGCCTTCGAATCAAAGTCCCTTTTAACCAGCACAGACCTAAAGACAAGTATTGATCTTCGCTGGTTTGATTGGTTGGTTGCTTGTTTGTTTTTTTTTATTCAGCAAACAAGAAACTGTTGCATTAATTATGTGATCATGTGTTAAACTGGGTGCTGCGGTCACAGGCAACTGAATAGGAACGGATAAGGACACTGACGTCCACTGCATTAGGTTTCATGCTCATATGTAATAGGCATGTTAGTAGGAAAGATTCCGCTGTTGCTCAAAAAAAGGTGGGAGGAGGCTGTCAGTGGAAAGAATGGCTGAAATCTGGGCCGTCATCATAATAATATATGTTTGGTGCATTAAACTCTGAACACAATTGTAGTTTTCTTTCAAATCTGGGCCATTTTAGAACAGTTGCACAAGCTGTACAGTCCCAATTTGCTTTATATTATAGTACAATAATAGCATCAAAACTTTCACCCAGCATATTACCTAAAAGTGTGGTAAGCTTCCCCAAATAACAACTATTTAATTACCACTGTCTTTTCTATTTTTCACTCTGAAACCTTCCATATTATTGATCAGGAGAGAGTGACAGGTAGTAAAGTACAGACATGAGTAACGGCTTGTATAAATGGGGTAAATAAATCAGAGTTATGGTTGGCATAAGCTACAAATTTCACGATGTCTCGGGTTACTTCCATGTTTTAAAATAGGTCTGGGTGTTCTGGGGAGGCTGTCAGGCCTGACACACTGGCGGCCGAGATATAGGAGGGACAGCCATCCACTCTGTCACACACTCGTCATTCCACAGCTAGGGTTACACTTGGTGTGTAGTAATTGGGGTATTACTGTCCCAGCCATACATAAGATGGCGCGGTCTGAAACATTCTTTGACATATAAGACAGCAATACGAAGCTGCTATATTCATTCACGTTAGCACATCGTACTTTACGCTTCAACTGTATAAGTGATTTGAACCATCTCTTAATCACACAGAGGGAGCGTTTTTACATTAGGGCTTATGTTTTCTTGTATTTTCTTTTTCCTCTAAGGTCCACTTCTAACGTTTGTGCATACCAAAATGGTCATAACTAATTTTACATGACCACCCTCTGTTTATCTTTCAGAGTAAAACAGGCTGTTACTGTGCCTTTAAGACTGATATATGTAAATTATTGGCTTCCCTCTATTGTACCTGTTCAAAAAGCAGTCCAGGCTGAAACACTCCTTATAACTTAAGTGTGAATGGGTGGGGCTAAACTGCTCTAGGCTGAATAGCTGGATATATGGAAATGGGTTGGTTCTTGTGACATCACAAAAACACATTCAAAACAGGCTATTTTTGCAGCATATATGGTCTGTATGGACTGGTATGTTTTGAAACTGTAACAAAGTTCACATCTTACTTTAAACGCTTTTATTTCAAAAACGCATGTTTGGTTTTTCATGATATGGGCCCTTTAAGGGAAAAACTCCAGTATGTTTAGTGGGAAAGGACAAGAAGGGGATTTGACTCAGGGAAAGTCCTGAAATAGCTAACATTTGACAATATTGATAATATGATCAATTCAGAATTTAGACTTGACCATTTCTCTCAGCCTTAATTGTATTTTCAGTGGTAGTTGTATTAGGCCCATTTGTTTGTCTCTAGTATGCAGAGAAACAGAACTATTTGAACTGGCAACCTTTCCAAGAAAACGCTTATTGGTGTTGACGTTTTACGGTTGATCAGTTTCTGGACTCCTTATGTGCTGCAATTCGATATGTTTCAAAATCAGAGCCAGAAAACTGATGTTTTCTGTGTATCAGTTCAAAAAGTCTTAGCATTCTTAGCACTAAACTGACAGGCAAGTCAGCATTTGTAGTGAGATTTCCCTAAAAACTTCCCTAAATAACTGAGCCCTTGCAACCAAAACCAGTATATGTGATATTTTAGTAATAAAAGTCATATAAGCATGGTATGACATCATTTGATATTTTGTGTTTAAAATAAATTGGTCACTGAAACAACTAGACCATAGTTTAGCTCCTTAATGTGAAAGCTTGTACAGAATAAAATAGAAAACAAAATAACTAATAATCCCAAAAGACTTAGAATGGTTAATGTATGATTTTTCATTGGAGAGGATCATCTAAATAAAGAGTGATTCATTTTAGTATATATAACATATTATGTTTATGGAAGTGTAACTACTATGAAACTGATGTTCAGTGATATAGTGATATGAGTTGTGTTAGTTATACCGTTACCTTTTGCAACATGTCTTTTGTGGCATTTGTCTGTTCAGTTTATTCATAATCACATTAAAATAATCGTCATTATTATCAAATTGATTCACTGCGAAATTTAAGCTTTACGCCTGTACTTAATTAGATCATTTTCTGGACAACTGTGTAAGTGTTGGCCCTATCATCAGTTCGCCGTCCATGGCTGGGGGTCCAAGAGAGCAGCTGTTCTCTCTCTCTGGGTAGGATGGCATGCGTCTGTTAGCTGATGCAACAGAATTAGCACTTAGTGCTCTCCTCCAAGTGTGTCGAGCTGTCCAGTGATGTGGTGGAGCTTTACCTGACTCAGAGGAAGCATGTGCTGGCCTTCACCCTCTTAGTGCTGATAGCATCGTGTGACTGGGGAAGATCTAGCTAGTAGGTGGAATTGGACCCGACTAAATTGGGGAAAAATGCTGAAAAACAAAGAGATCAGAAAAGTACCTGGTCAGAATTGTTGCTAGGAACCAGATATCAGAAGCATTTAATACATTTTAAAGCTGCCTTGCAGGAAACTGTTAAATGAAATGATGCTGCCTGATGCCTGAGATATCGTTTTATGACAGTTTATAGATAAAGTTTTGCATAAAATGTGTTTTTTTTTTCAATTCTAATCAAGTGATTTAGTGCTACATGCTATTATATAGGTTATAAGGAAAAAAAGTCCCCAAATAAAGCTTATTGTATCAAATCTACCACTATTTTACCATCATCAACATTACCTACAGTAAATAAAGTAAATAAAGTAGGTATATTTGTGTTGTAGGCATTGTGACCCCTGGTTTCTTTCAATCTAAAGAAATCTGAGTTAGAAGGTTTCTTTATCATTAACCATTTAATTACTATGAATGAATTTTACATCTCAGTGATCAAATTCTGCTGAAATTTAATAGAATTGATCTGTATGGGGCTGATATGTGGGCAATAACTTACACATTACTTTCACATTAGTCAGCATTTTTAGTTCTTAAAGAATAGTAAGTGTTATGATTAATAAATGAATAGTAAGCCTAGAGTTTAAACGGTGAAATGGATTCACAGCTGTTCTGTCTTTTGCAAATCTGGAGAGATGTTATGAAAGATTCATTTGAAGGAAGCAATTCAGTTGCATTGATTTCAGAAAGTTAGACTTATATTTTTTGATTATAATAATACGTAATGTTGTACGTGCTGTTTCTGCTAACTATTGCCTGTTGTTTTTGGCAGGTACGTATCAGGGCCAGTGGATGGGGGGCATGCGGCACGGCTATGGTGTCCGTCAGAGCGTTCCGTACGGAATGGCCACGGTGATCCGCTCTCCGCTCCGCACCTCTCTGGCCTCGCTGCGCAGCGAGCAGAGTAACGGCTCTGTCCTTCATGAGCGTCTGGCGGACAGTCCGGCTGGAACTCGCGGCGGCTTTGTGCTCAACTTCCACAGCGACAGCGAGCTGGGAGGTCCGGCCCGGAAGAAAGGACTGTTCCGACGTGGCTCGCTGTTCGGCAGCCTGAAGCAGCTTCGCAAATCCGACTCGCGCTCGTCCATCTCCAGCAAGCGCAGCTCGGCCCGCAGCGACGCCACCATGAGCCGCATCAGCTCCAGCGACGCCAACTCCACCATCAGCTTTGGAGAGGGAGAAGGGGCGGACGAGTACACACCCATGGAAGACAATGTGGACGCCACCACCACCGAGTCCTACATGGGCGAGTGGAAGAATGACAAGCGCAATGGCTTCGGGGTCAGCGAGCGGTCCAACGGCATGAAGTACGAGGGCGAGTGGACCAACAACAAGCGCCACGGCTACGGCTGCACAATGTTCCCAGACGGCACACGTGAGGAGGGCAAGTACAAGAACAACGTGCTGGTCCGCGGCATCAAGAAACAGCTCATACCCCTCAAGAACACCAAGACCAAGCAGAAGGTGGACCGTGCTGTTGAAGGAGCCATCAGAGCAGCTGCTATCGCCCGGACGAAAGTGGAGATCGCCACCTCGAGGTAAACTGAACGACACCACAGCTATCACAATAACCAAAAACATCAGTGTTATTTAGATTAGTGAAATTTGATGGATTTATATGTTAAATAGAAAAAGGTTTGACCAGGGTGAGCATTTTGTGTCCAATATAGATTTTAAGGGTCAAAAAACCCTGGTCAAATTCTGTGCTTTGTTGAATGTAATATACTGCGTTCCTCAGCCTCATCGAGTTGACAGAATTTGACAGGATTGACAATTTTGTGTCCTTTTTTGTGTTTTCACATTAAGAAATCCTTTTGCTAGCATAGACGCTGACGTGGCTAATAAACAAAGACATGATTTCTATCTTCTAAATAGCCGAAGTAAACAGATATAGCCCACCGTCCAGTATCCACAAAGGATAGCAGCTTCTCAACAGTTCCGTCTTCGAGATACATCCTCAGAAAGGGCTTTTCCTAATTTTTAAGCTGCTAAATTTTGCTCTAGAGCATGTGTGCTGAAGGCCCCTCTAAACGGTCCAGATTTTTCTCCATCCTTCTGCAGTTTGAGTTACATAAAAACAAGAACGTGGACTGTTTGCGGGTCCTGAGGACTGGTTTGAAGACCACTGCTCCAGTTTGCAATAGATGCAAGAATGGTTACAGAGTGCCCCTTTAATACGGACAAACAGTAAATTAAACTGTGATTTTAATTCAGCTGAAGTTGTTCTAATTAAACAATGCCACACCCTTAAAAATAAAGGTTCCTAAATGGCTTGCATGTTTGGCTCAAGTAAAAACATTTAATTGCCGTAGATCTAAACGTACTTGTTCTATGAAATGGCTTCAGAGAGCCCTTTTTGGCAGTGGTGTACTACCAACACCTCACTCTTACAGTAAGGGCTTTGGAGCGGTCATCAGTTCATCTCGATGAAGGTGGCTCGTTCACTGCTGTACCAGGCTCTCTGAGTGATAAAGAACTGTTTACTTGATTCGTTATGTGAAAGTCGTCCGTTCTAGCAGTTCAGCTCAATACGTGTTGCGTTTACATGCCAGTCTAGGAGGAATGGTGCTAAGACCCAATCTTATTCCTTATTTGTACCCCAACCCCTTGTTTCAGAGTGTCACCTTGCCCTTTGGATCTGTGTTTTAGGGGTAGTGGTTGAAATCTTCCTTCTGAAATGGGACCCTCAAATAAAAAGAGCATTACTTCATTAACAGCTACCGGCGCTGCTCTGTAGGCGACCCTGCCAGTCTGCAGTGACAGCAGAGGAGGGTAAAGTTCAGCTCTTCACTGCTGGGCTTTAGGACATCATATGCTTTCAAAGAGGGGGAGACAATTATTTATTGTCACCCACCACTGATTCTTTGGTCATATGAAATGATTTTCATTTTTTTAACAGCAGTCCTGCAACAGAGATGTAGCATCACATATGTGGCTACCAGGTATGAACTAATGACATGGACAGTGCTCATAACAGACAGTGCTATGTGGACAACAAGGGGAGATTTAGGGACCACTGGAGTGAAGAATATCTTTTTAGGGAATTTAAAGACATTCTGCTTCATAGGTCAGGAAAGCGTCACAGTTGGCTGTCTTTTTGGCCCCCGGCCCAGCACAAACATACACCTTGGCCCCCCCAAGACTAAGAGCTTGGGCTCTCTATGTGGGCCTGTACTTCAATACTGAACTCTCATAGTTGCATTTAGTTTTATTACTTTTATAGTAGTTACTGAATAAGCCTTCAGATAAAAAACTGAATAGCTTAGAGCTGATATGGTTAATAAATTCTTGAAGGGGTTCTAGATAGCAATGGCAAACCCTTTAATATGTGCCTTAGGCAGCTAGCAACCCAGTGACCTCATTTCCACCCCCTCTGTCTTGTCTATTTTCCATATAAGTGACAAAACAAATAATGAATTAAAATAGATTATTTTGTTATCGTGAGCAGAATGAGAGCTGTAAAACAGGTAGTTCCAGTTTTGCATTCTGATTGGCTCAGCTGCGTCGAAGCTGTTGTGAAATGTCCAGTATACGCACACCTACTGACTGACAACTGATTTCAGTCTCACTGCGACAAGTCACTAAAAATCCTTCTGCTGTTTAATGGAATAATCTTTGACTGTCATGATGGTTGCATGGAGCACCAAGGCCCAATCCCATTTCTTCTTTTTACCCCTACCCCTTGTTTTCGAGTGTCACCCTAACCCCTTGGAACGGAGTTACAAGGGGTAGTGGTTGAAATCTTGCCCTCTGAAATGGGACCCTCAAATTAAAAAAAAAAAAAAAATTGCTTCATTAACGGCTGCTAGCGGTTCTCCACTGGCAGTCCGGCCCGTCTTCAGTGACAGCAGAGGAGGGTAAAGTTCAGCTCCTCACTGCTGGGCTTTAGTTACATTTAGGGCGTCATGTGACTTCAAAGAGGGGGGCAATTATTTATTATCACCCACTGCTAATTCTTCAGTGATACGAAGCTGAAGTCAGATATTCACCAGGTTCTTGTTCAAATTTTCCCGTTCCACCTTAAATGGTGCAGCAGTTACATTCTGGCGCTTCAGGCGTCAGAACTGCTGGACTATTTAAGGTGGAACGGGAAAATTAGCTAGCTAGCTACCGAGACTTTAGCATACTTTTAGCGATTTGTTATGCTTGTTACGAAGAAAATGACCATAATACACTGAAACGACATCAAACTAAAATAATACAGTGGTTATCATTTTTCTTTTTTTCTCATAACCTCTGAAAAACCTTTTCACTTTGCCCTACCCCTCCATCTCAACAAATACTGGGACACCCTACCCCTAGATGTGAACGTGCAAAACAGAGGGCTAAGGGCTAAGTGGTAGGGGCGAGGGGTGAAATGGGGTTGGACCCAAGTGCACTAATGAAGAAAGAACCTGGTTCAGTTCGCAAGGCAGTGCATTGCAGTGATGGGTAGTTTTACTCCACGTTTTGTTGTGCTTAATAACGTTCACAGGTAGATGGACGATATATGAACTGGATACTCCGTTTTCTTCAATAGAACCACGACGAAGGCTGTGAGGTGCAGAATGGCGCTTTTTTCAACACGAACATGTGAATGTGGTATTAGCCCTGGCAACATCACTGTAACGCGCGGCCTCTTGCTCGTGGCAGTTTGTCGGTCAGTCTGTGTTAGATGTATGTGCTGGGTTGCTAATGAGCTGATATGTATGAACGATCAGCCAAATTTAAGGATTGAAGATGAAAAAACAGCTTTTTTACTGATGGCAACAACACCAATAATAATGATAATCAGAGAAATTTTCTGGAAGCTGTGTTGTTGTGAGGTGTAACCATGGTTACAGTGTTGAACTTTCTTACCTAACTAAACTTGAGTCATTGATTCCAGTTGTGAGAGTCATATCACTTTTGTTTTCTCTCCCATGGCCATGGAATGAGTAAGTGTGGGAGAGAGAGAGAGAAAGAGAGAGAGAGAGACAGAAAGGAACAGAGAGAAGAAGAGAGAAACAGCGAGAAAGGGAGGAAGCGAGATATAGAGATAAAGAGAGAGACTTTGACTTTGAAACCCCTTTAATCAACCTTTGTCCACGTAATAAGAGCGGTCACAGCCAGCTCAGGCCAAATTCAAAACCATAACAAAGTAGGAAAGACAAATAAAGCAAAAGGCAACTTAGCCAAATTACAGAGAGGTCAATTCACAGATTTAACACAAACCCACTAAGTTCATCAGGTCCACAAAGCAAGACCCCCATAGAACAAAACAATTAGTCCACATTGTCAACAAGGGGGTAATAGGTAAATTCAACAAGGAGCTGTTTCATGACCAGTCCCTTACAAGACAAAGAGAGAGAGATGGATGGAGAGAGAGAGAGAGAGAGAGAGAGAGAGATAAAGGAAGATAGAGATGGAGAGAGAGGAAGATAGATATATAGAGAGGGGGAGAGAGAGAGACATAAAGGAAGATAGAGATGGAGAGAGAGGAAAAAAAATTATATATATATATATATATATATATAGAGAGAGAGAGAGAGAGAGGAAGAGAGATATATAGAGGGAGAGAGAGAGACATAAAGGAAGATAGAGATGGAGAGAGGAAAAAAATTATATATATATATATATATAGAGAGAGAGAGAGAGAGAGGGGGGAAGAGAGATATATAGAGAGGGGGAGAGAGAGAGACATAAAGGAAGATAGAGATGGAGAGAGAGGAAGAGAGATATATAGAGAGGGGGAGAGAGAGAAAGATACAGGGGAGAGCAAAAGAGATAAGGAAGAGAGGGAGAGAAAGAGAGAGATAGAAAAGGAGGATAGAGAAAGAGAAAGAAAGATAGATGAGAGAGAGAAAGAGAGAGACAAAGGAAGAGAGAGATGGAGAGAGGAAGAGAAATATCGAGGGGGGAGAGAAAGAGAGATACAGGGGGAGAGCAAAAGATAAGGAAGAGAGGGAGAGAGAAAGAGACAGACGGGGAGAGAGAAAGGGAGGAGAGAGAAAGAGGGAGAAAGACAGACGAGGAGAGAGAGCGAAGAAGATGGATAAGAGAGAGATGGAGAGAGAGAGACAAAGATACATAGAGGGGGGAGAGAGAAAGAGAGATATGGGGAGAGCAAAAGGTAAGGAAGAGAGGGAGAGAGAAAGAGACAGACGGGGAGAGAGAAAGGGAGGAGAGAGAAAGAGGGAGAAAGACAGACGAGGAGAGAGAGAGAAGAAGATGGATAAGAGAGAGATGGAGAGAGAGAGACAAAGATACATAGAGGGGGGAGAGAGAAAGAGAGATATGGGGAGAGTGAAAGAGATAGAAAGAAGAGAGGGAGGGAGAGAGAGGAAGAGAGATATAGAGAGGGGGAGAGAAAGATATATAGAAAAGGGGGGAGAGAGAAAAAGAAAGAGAGAGAGGGAGGGAGAGAGAAAGAGATAGAGAGATGGGAAGAGAGACAGAAAGATATATATAGAGAGAGAAAGAGATATGGGGGAGAGCGAAAGAGATGGAAAAGAAGAGAGGGAGGGAGAGATGGAGAGAGAGGAAGAGAGAGATATAGAGAGGGGGAGAGAAAGATATA